TCCCTTGAAACAAAATCTTTGAATATGTTTTCCTTGGAACTAGTTTCATCTCCCCGTGAGACAATTTCTTTTGGAACTAAGTTTTGTCTCTCTTGAGACAATTTTTCTTAAAACAAACTTTGTCTCCCTTGAGACCGTTTCTCATGAAATAACTGATATCTTTAAGATCGTTTCCCTTGAAACGAATTCTGACTCTTTCAAGACAATTTCTCTTGAAGCATCATCTGAACCATTACACTCAGCTCAGGCACATACTTGGGATGGTCGAAAGCATTTCTCAAATCAAAAATAGAATGTGCACATCAGTTTTGAACATTTGAAGAATTCGAGATCAGGGATCAAAACTTGAAGATTCCAGAACTAAGATTCCAGAAAAGCAACCGGAGATCGAGATTTCTCTCCTGAGCCCAAAAATAACATATGTTGCATATGCATTTTAGGCATACCTAAGAGCATTGCATCCATCTCATCACATATATGCATAACTTTTTCAGGTTTTAGCTAGAGTCAATTTCAACTTCGCAACAAAGGATATTGAGATCAAAGCAACACAATCAACTCGAGAGTAGATTTCAACTTCGCGACGAATGATATCTAGCTCGAAGTCGAATTTCACAATAAAGAGGTCATCAGCGATTTTAACTCCACGACGGAGGATATCACGCCACTCGAGATAATACAAGTTCAACTTCACAACGAAGGGACGACTGGTTGTCAACAAACCACTTTTCAGTTTCATTCAGAGTCAATTTCAACTTCACAGCGAAGGATATTAGACTCGAGACAACACAAGTTCAACTTCACAATGAAGGGACGGCTGGTTGTCAACAAATCATTACCCAATTTCAGAGCCAATTTCAACTTCACAGCGAAGGATATTGGACTCGAGACAACACAAGTTCAACTTCATAACGAATGGACGGCTGGTTGTCAACAAACCACTTTTCAGTTTCATTCAGAGTCAATTTTAACTTCACAGCGAAGGATATTGGACTCAAGACAACACAAGTTCAACTTCACAACGAAGGGACGACTAGTTGTCAACAAAATAATTTCCCAGTTTTAGAGCCAATTTCAACTTCACAGCGAATGATATTGGACTCAAGACAACACAAGTTCAACTTCACAACGAAGAGACGACTGGTTTTCAACAAACCACTTTTCAATTTTAGAGCCAATTTCAACGTCACAGCGAAGGATATTGGACTCAAGGCAACACAAGTTCAACTTCACAACGAAGGGACGACTAGTTGTTAGCAAACACTTTCCCAATTTCAGAGCCAATTTCAACTTCACAGCGAAGGATATTGGACTCAAGACGACAAAAGTTCAAATTCACAACGAAGGGACGGCTGGTTGTCAACAAACAATTTCCCAATTTCAGAGCCAATTTCAACTTCACAGCGAAGGATATTGAACTCGAGACAACACAAGCTCAACTTCACAGCGAAGGGGCGGCTGGCTGTCAACAAACAATTTCCCAGTTCCGGAGCCAATTTCAACTTCACGACGGAGGATATTGGACTCGAAACAATAATACCCACTTCGATTTCAACTTCACGATAAATGATATCCAATTATCAGGCTCAACTTCACGACGAAGGGGCCACCCGCGGTTTCAACTTCACGACGAAGGGGAATCGTGCACACAAGCAACATCTATCTCTAGATTGGATTTCAACTTCACGACGAAGGATATCCAACTCAAAGAAGGGTTATCTATCATCAAAGACCTTCGAGTTCGATTACATTCAGCTCAGAGGTAAATCAAATTTACAGCATAGCTCAAGGCAAGAAGGGCTATCTGTCAGCGAAAATTGTCGAGTTCGATTCCATTCAGCTCGATGACACCTCAATCACTCTATTGTCCGGCTACAATCGAGGTTTTCAAGCCGAGAATAAGATATGGGTTAGCCGTGCCTTAGTAGCAAGAAGCCTTTTTTCCATCAGCATAGCTTAAGTCGAGAAAATTTATCTGTCAACGAAGACTTTTCGAGTTCGGTTTCATTCAACTCGAGAGCATATCAACCACATTATGGAGTCAAGGGATTACTTTCCAGTCGATTTTTTAGCCAAGGTCTTTAAACCGAGAAGAAGACCAAAGTGGACTACAACGAGAATCCACATTCTGATTCAAATCATTTCAAGATGGACTCGACTTCGCGATGGAGGAGCCATCCACAACTCAATTCGACAGGGAGTTATTCTTCAACTCCACTGAACTAAAATTTGTGTCTTTTTATCTTTGTCCTATTTTTTGTTCCACGAAAAAAGACAAAGAGGGGCAGTTGTAGACACCAATTTTCTTAAAAGATAGAACTAGCAAGAGTTCATCTCCTAAGAGGACTCTTCCACCACCATATCTTTTAAAGCAACAACCACACCAACAAAGGTGCAACAACCGAGCAAGGAGTCTAGTTGCATTAGGATTCTATTGTTAGTTAGTTTTTTTCACTATAAATACATGTAATTCTTCCCATTTGTAAGACACGATTATCATACGGGATTACGCACACAAAGAAAATACCCAAAGAAAATACGCAAGAAGCCCCAAAGATTCGCTTGTAATTTTCAACAGAGAAATAAAAGAGGTATTTTTACCTATATTGCTTCGATTCTCGCTTGCATGTGGCTTGTTTCACTTCTTGTTTTCCGTTTTTACTTTGAAAAGGTCGATGAACACAAGGGAACCGAGATCTTTTCTCTTAGATCTACGCTTCCCCGAGGCTTATTTTGAAAAACCGGTTTGATTTTCAGTTAAATGAGGAGAAGAGCTTTTTAAAAATCTATATTAGTCCCTTTATTTATTATATGGATATTTTATTCATTTATTTTTATTATTCATGTTATTATTATTATACGTATATATGTATATTTTAAATTATTTTCATTTTTTTACTATATTTTATTATATATATATATATATATATATATTTCTTTAATATTTTACTTATAAGTTTATTATTACTATATATATTGTAATTATCTTTATCTAGTTATATTTTTTTTATACTTTTAATAGTTTATTTATATACCTATTATTAATATATATTCTTAATTATTTTTATTTGATTATTTCTTTATTTACGTAATATATCTTATAACTTTATATATATATATATATATTATTTTTATTATTATTTTCATTTTTTATTCATTATTATATATTTTTTAAAAACCTTGTGTCTTTATCATTATTATTATTAAACATTATATTATATATTACTAACCTAGAGGACACATTTTTTTTGTTTTATTTCTAACTAAAGTCTCTCCCGCTTTCCTCTTTTTGTCTTATTTCTGACTAAAACCCCCCACTTTTGGTGAAGTGAGAGGGTAGCTTTTTTATTTTTAAATATTTGTTGTATATATATATATAACTTATTTATTTTATTAATATTTTGATGTATATATATATATTTTTTTTTCATTTTTCAAATATTACTATATATAATTATTACTTTACTATTTTTTTCCTTATCTTATTTATTTATTTTATTTATTTTATTTTTTCCCTTTTATTTTATTCTCTTTATCTTATTTGTTTTCTTTACCTTGTTTATCTAACACATTTCTTGATTTTTTAAGGATATTTTCAAATCAATCTAAGGTAAGTAATTGGGATCGTATTTTTACCTTTTAATTTTAACTTATAATTTTCTTAATTTAAGACAACTGAAAATTACATAGTACCGAAAGGGCAGTTCAAGGGTGCTAACTCTTCCTTGACTGTAACCGACTCCCGAATCCGACACATCTTTGGTAAGACGCAGATCAGGTAAGAAATAAGGTATCCAATCTACCTATTTATCTTAAAATAAAAGATCGGTGGCGACTCCAATCCACATTTTCCTAAGTCGAAGCCCAATTTCGGGGCCCAACCGAAAGACGATTACGACAGCGGGCTACATGTAAATCAGAGGACTCGACATGTAAATCGACAGGCTCAAAATAGGTTTGGATGGTGGATGATGTGGTGTTTTCTGATGGCACTATTGAAGACGGGTTGAAAGTGTTTGCTTTTCGTCCACGATTAGTCGGGGAATGATGATATAATATAGATAGACGTTTTGTACGATGATAAATAAACCTATTTCATGCCTCATTAGAAAGTATGAATGGTTTCTCATTTCCATTGAACCACGAAATATATTCAGGTGAAACCGTGATATCAGTTTCCGAAATATAATGATGAATGACAATATGCAAAGTTGCATTCTACATAACACGCCCTTTTAGGTGAACTGTCACATCAACATAAGACGCTTCCTACAGAACGTGCGTTTGCCCAGACGCATGTCACGTGTGTAAAGCGCGTCCTATAAAATGCACCTTCATGCCACGTTGCACGAAAGGATGATATTTCTATAAATATTGCTTAAAGAGTGCTATTTCGATAGTTTTACAATTTTTTGTTGATTTTTCAATTAAAAAAATCCTTGTTTGGCGTAAATGAACTATTAGAATTGAAGTACGAACCAAGCGACTTCAATTATAAATGAATTATTATTATTTCTTGAAACATCGAATTCGAACACTATGAAAATAAGAGGTGTTAGCATTGGTATTACTAACAAAGAACTATTAGAATCGGAAGATGATGTAATCAATAAATATTTATTATTATTTTATCTTTTAAAAAAACATTTAACATGAAAAATGGCTAAAATTATTTAAATTGCCACGTGGATTAGTGTTATTTTATAATGGTCAAAAGGGAAAGGTTCTTCAATGTGTCGACTTTCCGTAGGCTGAGTACCGTCAGGCGCCACGCGGCAAAAGTGATTCGCTTTGCCAGATTTATTAGCACTCAGATCAAAACCGTTGAAAACCTGGTCAATTATTATTTAACTCCAATGCAATCTAGATCAACGTCTAAATATAGCTCAGTTGCTTCTTTTTAACATACTGCCAAAGCACTGAATAATATTTTATGTTCTTGGAGAACGTGTATAAAATGCTAAATCCAAGAGAACTTTATCATGCTTCCAACAAGGTTGCCGGACAAAATGGCTGTGGCCGCCGCTGTTTGGTTGCTCGTTTTAACGCTGTTTTCTAATTCAAAAGCTGATCAAGCTTTCGATGTTCGTCAGCACCTCTCCAGTGTAACAAGGTCTCCATCTCTTTCGCTCTCCTTTATATCGTTATTTTAACTATTTTTTTATATCTTGAATCTGATTTATCTTGTTATTTTAACTATTTATTTATATTCTTTGAGCAGATATGCTGCAGTGAAAGATATTGTAGACAATTCCTTTCATCCTTCTCATATTCCTGATGGGTGTACTCCTATCCACTTAAATCTCGTGGTAATTTTTTTTTTGCTTTCATGAAATTTGAATTCTTAACCATCTTTCATTGCTAGAAATATTGTTGAAATGAAAGGAAAATAATTTCCTTATTAGACTAGGTGATTTGAGACTACATTTTTACAGGGAAACTTTGTATGAGGCCAAATTTTGCAATGCAGTTATGCTATTTTCTCTCCTTAGAATGAAAATTTGTAAATTCGGTGTTCGAGTCTTTGTGAAATTAGGAAGGCTTTTAAAAATTTGTACCGGGCTAGTATAATATGAACAGAAATTGATTAATGATGCATGGAAAAAAGTTGCATTAGGTGTTGTGCAATGTTTTTGATCGGTGGCTTTACTGGATATCCTTAAGATTTTTATACTATTTGAAAGGTGTATTCATGAAGTTAGTATGCTATATTTTCTTTCCTAATCATAGTTATTGCATTGTTGGATAGTCATGAAAATCCCATAATTATTGCATTGTTTTTCTAGGGTATTTTTTTTTCTTTTAGCTTTTTTTATTGATATTTTCAAGTGCGTATCTGTTACTTTGTTGAATGCCTACAAGATTAGAACTAAAAGTCTAAAAGGGAGACTAATGGAAATTCATTTTTTTAGGCAAGACATGGAACTCGTGCTCCCACTAAGAAGCGGATGAGAGAGTTGGAGAAGTTGGCTTCTCATATAAAGGAACTTCTAAAAGATGCTAAAGAAAAGAATTTGAGCCTACAGAAAGTTCCTGCTTGGTTACAGAAATGGGAATCTCCTTGGAGAGGAAAACTGAGGGGTGGAGAATTGGATAGAAAAGGAGAAGAGGAATTATATCAGCTTGGAATCAGGGTTAGGGAAAGATTTCCTGATTTATTTAATGAAGAATTCCACCCTGATGTGTATCCAATAAAGGCTACTCAAGTGAGCTATGTGTTTGAAATTTAATCTTTTTCTACTGTATAAATGCTTTATTCATAGATAAGCCTTCAACTTAGCCCACATGTCTTTTTCTTCAGTTGATAATTTATATGGATGATGCTTTTTTTAGCCGATTGATATGGATGATACTTGACTTCCTGACTGAGCACTCAACATTCCTTTTTCTTATCTCAATAGTTTGATTTCATGACCCTGGCCAGCTTTGCATATTTGCTTTTTATTGTATTGATACTCATGTGCTTTTCTTTCATATTTTGTGGGAAAGGTTCCTCGGGCTTCTGCCAGTGCTGTTGCATTTGGCATGGGACTATTTAGTGGCAACGGAAGTCTAGGACCAGGCCGTCATCAAGCCTTTTCTGTTACAAGTGAAAGTCGTGCAAGTGACATAACCCTGAGGTTTTTTGATTGTTGTCAAACCTACAAGGTATGATTGATGTTTCTCCTTCATTATTCATGCACCAACACAATGATATGTATAAGCTCATGCATTTCTAGTTTCTTTTCTTTGTAATGATATTCACTTCTGCTACTTCACCTAAGAAAGTCGTCCAAGATTTTTAAGCTTGTCATATATTCATTCTATTTTATACATAATTTATTCCTTTATCTCTTATATTAACCTCACCTGCAAGTTTGGATTAAATGGTTCTTTTGCGCTTTAATCTAATAAAGCTTTCGACAATGCTCTAATGGGTATATGGATGCAGGACTTTAGGAAAGAACATGAGCCTGCTGTTGATAAACTGAAAGAACCCATCATTGCTGAAATTACCTCTGCATTAGCAAAGCGATACGAGTTCAATTTCACAAGACAGGATATATCTTCTCTCTGGTTTCTTTGTAAACAGGTAGTAATATGCTTTTCATGCAAATCTTATGGTGCTTGCCCATACAAAAAAAAATGAGAAACTCCTAATACTTGATCTGTTAAATTTTATATTTATATTCTTGGTGATGTTGGATTTCTGATATGGCAGGAAACATCCTTGTTGGATATTACTGATCAAGCTTGTAGTCTTTTCAGTCCAACCGAGGTATTTTTCACTCTTCTTTACCCTTTTATGGAAACAAAATCGCTAATAATCATTTTGTTGCAGGTAGGATATGTTCATTCCTCGTTTCTTTTCATAATTACCCTTGGTATTTAGACCACTAAGCCACTAACTACTTGTCTGGGATGTTTTTTTCCTTCAAAAAAAACCTTAATAAGATGAGATAAGTATGCTGCTTAAAGCTGTAGACATTTTTATGAATATTTAATCTAATATGCATCAGTTTGCAGACCTCTACAAGTATAAATACAAAGTAGAAAATACCTTATTACTTTAGGTTGTTGTCTTTGGTCCTTATGAAATGTACATACCTATAAGTTGGGAAAATTAAAACAAGATACCTGATCTGAGTGATATACTTCCCATTTTTTCCTTTGATCTCTCATGCTTGTTCAGCTGTTGTTGTTTAATTAAATTATGTTGCATGCTTTATGATTTTTCACCTGCAAAAGCTATTATTTAGGTGGCTCTGCTGGAGTGGACGGATGATTTAGAGGTGTTCATATTAAAGGGCTACGGTAAATCCTTAAATTATCGAATGGGAGTACCTCTGCTTAAAGATGTCATTGAATCCATGGACCAAGCAATTGTGGCTAGAGAGGGTAATGTTACTTTTTCGTTCTGATTGTCTAAACTTTTTATATCTATAAGTGAGGAATCTATATAAATGAGTATCCTTGAATTGTCTTGAGCCCTCTTTCTATATCCTGCAGTGATTATCGCTTGTTATTTGGAATTATTGGCCAAGGTTGGCAAGGGCCAAACTGCATTTGCAAATATTACATTCTTTACAAGTTATTATTATAAAGTGGAGAAAATAATCAGAGAACATTCTCATTGTTGCAATTGTTTGTCATCATTCATTAATTATGTGTTATATGTCCACTCATCATATTTGATATCTTCAGAGCTTGCTGAACCTAAAATAATTACATACAAATTTCTTCCGATTATTGACTGCCAAAGAACAAGGTAAAAGGTTGTTTGGTAATTGGTTGTTCTCAACTTTGACACCTCCTTTTTTTTCCTTATCCATAGTTAATCAAGCACCTGGCAATTACGAGAAGGCAAGATTGCGGTTTGCACATGCAGAAACAGTGGTTCCCTTTTCATGTTTACTTGGGCTTTTCCTAGAAGGATCTGGTAAGTGCTTTTAGTCTTTAATTGTTGCATCCATGAAGGGCCATGTTGGTTTGCGTATAGGCTTGATTATGTGAAGCTATGTAGGCTTGTTATATTTTGTTGTTTATTTAATCATTGCAGATTTCCAACGAATACAGAAGGAGGAGCCTTTGGATTTCCCTCCTAAACCTCCCCAGAAAAGAAATTGGAGAGTCAGCAATGTGGCTCCTTTTGCTGGGAATAATATGCTGGTCTTATACAGTTGCCCGGTGAATTCTGCAGTCAAATACTTTGTCCGAGTTCTGCACAATGAGAATCCCATCCCAATGCCTGTAAGTATATATTTAATTTCGTAGTTTCTTATCAGTAGTTAACCAGTTATACCAGTAAAAGGGAAAACATGTTCTTTTTATGTTTTTCTATTTAGGACAATGTCAAACTTTAGTGTCATCGTCATTCAGCAAGACTGATGATTATGTAAAAATCTTACTGAATACAGTGTCCACCTGCCTCCAATTTTCATAATTTAAGATTCACCATTTTTTTCCTTGGTTCTTAGTGCAAACTGGTAGTCATGCACTCCACAATTCTATAAAATTTAGGGTCCATTTATTTGTACTTATGTCAATATATTCAAGTCAGTTCAATCCTTACACTACCTTTTTAATGAATAGGGTTGTGACGGTACTGATTTCTGTCCGTTTGAAACTTTCAAGGTATGATCATTGTCCCACTTCTATGTTTATGAAAATGACTAACTTCGCTCCTAATTGTTAGAACTTACATGACATTTTCAGGAGAGAGTTGCGCAACCACACTTGAAGCACGATTACAATACCCTTTGCCAAGTGAATCTTGATCAGCCGAAGCAGAAGCCCGAACCCAGTAAGTTATCGAAACTGTTCCGGTGGCTCTTTTGGCTCGGGAATGATGATGCACTATCCCATAGAGTTGAATTGTAGTTGTTTTTCCAGGAAAAAAATGGACTATAATTTTCTTACCTATTCCCCTTGTCGCCACTCCTTGGTGTGATTTTCATCTACGGACTAGGGGAGTTCTATTCCATTGCTGACATAAAACAAAATTTGCTACAACAAGATTTCTTGAAGGATTCGTATCATAGAAATTAAGAAGTTCAACATCATTTTATCATTTTTACTTCTACTTGATTTTCAGAAAAATAAAATAAAATGGAAACCCATGGATGTAGAGTCGGATATCTGTGAGTACTTTCGAGGAGACTTCAAGGCTTCATGTATTGATCTGGTGGAGGAATCATCTTTCTCTCTTCAAATCCTGGAATGAATTTGATGTTATTTGTAACTGTAGTGAATTTTACAAGTTTTAGTATACTGGTTTAGAAGAAATAGAAATAGCCACTCAACTGCCTCTGGCTTCAATCTCACGCCATTCTTGTACCATTGCGCAACAGCAGCATATGAGATGGGTTATAAAGTCATCGCATAATCCTCCCTGAAAAAGGAAATTGAAATTAGGATTACTATTGCCTAGTTGTTTTCTTTTTTTATTTTTATTATTGGTATCTAATCTATTGTTCGACTATTCTGAATCGGATTTCGTAGAGAATTATTATGGAGGCATTTCTCTCAACTCAATTTACTTCGTTTGTAAATGTCAAAGCTCAAATGCTAACTTTAAGAGATTTAGTATCTCATATCACTAAATCAACTAATTGTTGGTACTATCATCTAATTAATGATTCGACTATAAATCCAAAATTCAAGTACCTCGATGTTAAAATGTCGTCTCAATTTGCTCCTCACATAACACGAGTAACAACAACCACCACAGATCAAGGAGTAGGCCATTAAATTACTGATAGCCTGCTTCCGAGCTGTATGACAAATTGGGATCAGACTTGGAATTTATGCTACAATTTGAACAAGTTAATCGGGCGAAACCTACATATATTTCCTTTGGAAACTACATTAATTATGCTCGAAAACACTCCACAGGGATACATGCATGTCTTCAAGCCTGTAACAACAATGAAACCAAGTATTGAGAATTACCAATGGGAAACAATGGGGTCATATCAAATACCCGAAGCTTCCATTTGCAACTCACTTAGGCAGGGTTCACTGCAACAATCGAAAAGATCAACCTGCCATTGGGATTCACATTGGTTCGCGTAGCTACATTTTGCATTGCTTTCGTTCCTGTCCCATATATCCCCTCAGAAAAAATAAATAAAGCAAATTCACTTGATTTAATTTTTTTTTTCATTCGAGGAAAAAAGCTGCTTACCTTGAATGAACCATAGTTGTTTCATTGACACGCTTATGAACATTGTTTCCCCGAAGCACAGTGACAACGTTTTCTGTGACATCAATTAGATGTTCAATTACTCGGCATTGCTTAGAATCTTTAACACTTCTTGATTTTTGCAGCTCAGCATGGAGTTTCACTTTTTCTTCTTGCAATGCTTCCTTGAAACCCAGTTGAGGGTACTACGAGACAAACATTTCTCCAATATATTTGCATCTCTTTCTTCTCTCTCACCTTAATATAACACTTTGAGCTTCAACATCCTCTTCATCAAGAGTGTACTCCCTTTCATCTTGATCAATTGCCTGTAACCCTTCCTCCAAGTTCTGGATTAATCATTTTAACACACAAAACTTGTTTAATCAAACTTAAAGTTCTATTTGCACCGACAAATAGTTGATGGAGTCGAGGCTTTTTCTTACAGAATCTCGACTGTTCACACTTTCATATCATGTAGGGGACCCATTTTTTGACAATTGGGAACTTGCATATTGGAATGCCTATGGAATTTTTCACCCCACAAATGAACTGTGTTTCCCATACTTTTCAAAAAAGGAAAAAACTAATCTTGAATATATGGAGTAAGTGTTTCTTACTTGCATTCGGTATTGATGGACGAGTGAAATCAAAGGCAGGAGCATAAGGTGTCGATCGATCTCAGCTTGGACTTGGCGAAACTGATGAACGATGGTCCATCCCATGGCAAGCATGTAAAGGAAGCTTTTGTGTCTACAACTCTCCACCAGCTGTAGAGCTTGGTTGAGGGACTGGTCAAGGCCATCCAAGGGTTCTTTTATGGCGGGCAAAGTGACCATGTCGGAGGAACGCAACTTCTCCAAAAGCTTAGCTATTAAGTTGACGTGGTGAGCCAGGTGGTGGCAGTTGTTTCGGTGCGTTGAGGCGTTTTTAGCTGATGAAATGATGAGGGTTGTTAGCCCTAAAGAATTTAGTCCCGGGGACATCCAACACTAGTTGGATGGATCCTTGGTTTCAGAAAGCAAATAAATTAGAGCAAGAGAGAGAGAGACGGAAAGTTTATGTTTTTACGTGCTTGATTGATTGTAGATATGAGTGATGTTATGAGTCCAATGGAAAATATGTATTTCTACTTTCCTTTTTTAAGTATGAATGATTTTTATTGTAATTTAGAAAACATTATTAATTAATTGTGTGGATCAGCCGGTAAAGTGCAAAGCTCTTAGGTTTTTTTATCCTAATAATCAAGGCGACGGATTATTTAGCGCAATAAGTCACTCGAAATTTTATTTTAGAATCTACGACAAATGTTACAGGGTTTATAGAACTCATCATATTGGCATGACGAGTTCTATGAGATATATTTTTTTAATGGGCCATGTCACGTGGGTCTCACAACCTGAATTTATTTAATATTTCCTAATGACGAGTCACAATAAAAAATAAATTTTTTGAAAATTTTAAAAACATTGTAAAAAATATTACTTTATTGCTGAAGGAACTCGTCACTTCCAACAGGTATAATTTTGAATTTGTTGACTGTTGGATTGACCGTTGTTGAACGATTAAATTTAACAAAAAAATCAATGGAACTCTTCACGTCGGTGTGACAAGTTCCAACGACTATTTTCAATTTGAAAAAACTAGTCGTTTATAGCCGTTGGGTAGAGTAATATAAATAGAGGTTTGGGTTGGATTGATTTTTCACTTGGAATCAAACATTCTATTGAGAGTAAAAACTTTTGTGTTGAAGATTTTGTGTTGAAAGGTCTCAAGAGAAGAAATGTTATTTCTTGATGATGTTCATATTTCGTCGACTGAGTTGACTACGGTAAATTTAATTTGTTTTATTTCATTTTAGTTTTGACAAAATTATAGTATTAATAATAATTATTTATGTAATTGTATTAAATAATTTATTTTCAAATTGTAGCGAGAAGAACGAGCCATTCGTCATCGAGGAATGATGAATGAAGAGCCACATGAGCGGATGGTGATATATCTTTCACAATTCGGATTATATGAAACGACGTTTCTTCACGGATTTAAGGTGATGTCGGCACTAATATCGGCGTTGATTAAGCGTTGGAGGCCCGAAATGCATACGTTTCATTTTTCTTGTGGTGAAGTGACGATAACATTGGAAGATGTCGCGTATCAACTTGGCGTTCTGATTAATGGTATGACATTGGTGCATTGCAACACTTATTCGCTAAATGTTGTTATTTCAAATTTATTGGGAAAGGAGGCTCCAGCCGATGTCATTGATGGGTTGTGGATATGGATGACGTGGTTGGAAAGAGAATTTAGAGTAGATGAACAATCAACAGTGAAAGAGGTGATATATGCAACTCGAGCATATCTTATGACGTTGATTGGAGGATTTGATATATGTATATCGGGCAATTTGGTGTATACCCAATATCTTCTGGTAATTGAGGATTTTGATGTATGTCACCAATATAGTTGGGGTTCTGCAATTTTTACTTTTTTTGTATTGTGAACTCTGCAAGGAGACCATAGTGGTTAGAGGAAAAAAGTTGATGTAGTAGGTTGTTTACTTTGCTCCAATCTTGGGCGTGATATCGTCTCCCGTTTATGACGCCTATTACATCCGCTCCTATAGAGTTTCCTCTCGCCGCAAGGTAAATTCCTATATTTAAAGTTTTTACATTTTATAATATTTATTTAAATATTTTGAAAATGACAATAAATAATGTAATTTTTTATGGCGACACCGAATAACCGATACAAAGTTGTCATGTGCAACCAAAGTAGATATTCGGATGAGGATTGATATCGCTGGTAGACACGAGGTAAATTTTAATATTTTTTTACATTAACTTTGAAATTGTAATAATAATTGTTTAATTATACTAATATAATACTTTTGACAGTTTAATTGGATGCCTTATTATGAGTCGAATATCCAACGGTGTCTACCGTTATTGTTCTTTGAAGGAGCGGAGACATGGTGTGTCGTAACACCATTGCTTCATTTCGCAATTGTTGAGATCCATGCCGCCGATAGAGTTTTGAGACAATTTGGGTTTCACCAACCGATAGAAATGTCCATATTTAACATGGACGATTTGCATAAAATAAATGCGCGTGGGAAACATAACGAAGATTGTCCGAGGAATCATGCTATATTCATACAACAATGGTAAAATACACATTTACGATTACCTAATCATTCTGAGGTACAACCCGAAGATTTTGATTTTAGTTGTATTCGTGGTTTTGACGTACATCTCCACCATATTATTATTTGATGATTAATGAAGTCCAACCATAACAACAACATCGTCGTCGTCATCAAGCTGGACTGTTCTATATGTCATTGGATTTGAGGAGATCAGGTGCCGGTAACTTAAACATGAAACATAAGCCCAAATTTTTCACTCAATTTTTTGCTTCATTTGGTGATGAGATTCATATACAGGGAACATCATATTGATGTACATGTGTGACTTAAACACAACACCAACATCAGTTTGTAAAATTTTGCCATTATAATGGACAACTGTGAAGAATTTGTTGTTTATAGTTTGAAATGTATTTGGTTAGAAGAAAGGAATTTGTTATGTAACAGATTAGGAACACCACCAACCCGTATCTGACCCGAATACGGATCCGAGGTGTCACATTGACTTTTCAAAACCTTTACTTTTAAAATATAGTTGAATTTAAACATATATTTGAAATAAAATGATGGAACATTTGATCAAAAGTAATTAAACATAATTTAACTTATATTGAACTTAAAACTCAATAATTTACGTAAATATAGTATTGTATGTTTACAAAAAGGATCAGAGCATATATGAGTCAAACTGTTAATTACATGCCAACAACATTCGATATAATACGGTTTAATTCTTTTCTGATATGATCTTCTGAAAGGAGATGCTGACATGACTAGCTTAGCTTTTCTCTTCTTGCTTCTCTGAACCTACATGTGAAACACTCACATACTAATTCTTTGACTTAGTGAGGCATATAATGCATAAACGAAACATTAAAACATGAAATCACATAATTAACTTTTCTAAACATAATAAGTACAGAAACTATCATACACTTCACCCAACAAGAACATATAATATTATACACTATTCATTAATGTTATTTCTTTTAATATCCCATGGTACCTTCTTGAGAAATAAAATCCTAAAACACTTAGACATATTCTAAACATATCATAAATCGCA